GGGGTTCTGCGGCGTGCGTTCTGCAGATCACTAGGTAGGCTCGCTCATGCTCAGAGAGGGGTGCGGGTGAGCAAGGGCACTCAGGTGTGAGCCTGTAATAGGGTTCTGGAATGGGGTGTCTTAAGCCTGAAAAGTCCAGCGATCTGCACTCTGAAACTGGGCTCAAGGAATGGAACTGGAACTGGGAGTAATGTGGCGAGGCAGCGAATGACTCTAAAGCAGTGCTGTGTGTTAGTGATTTTTAGGAAAAGGGAAGGCCTTGCCGGAATAGTGAATGAGGCTGAAGGGATGGTGTAGGGTTGGGAAGACGGGGTGCTGTAAATATCTCTTACTGTCTTCTGGTTGCATAAAGGTATGTATGTGTAAAGATCCACCGTGACATACTTAAAGTGGTGCGTTTTAGGGAAGTTTTTCTTCAGTGTAACAAAAATTTTAAAATTAACCAAAAAAATTTTTTTGCAATCGTGGTTTGGGAACCCACCCAGGATGGGTTTGGGGGAGTAAACTAGCATCTCTGCTATTTCTGTGTCTGTGTAGGAATTTTTATGAACTTTGCTTTAACTGGTTCTTATGATTTGCATTTTTATCTTGCTTTCGAAACTTTATTTCTCCAATAAAAGGCCGTAGACTAGTTAAGTACATGTTGAGAAGATAGTAGAAGAGCTAAGAAGTGATTATTTTTTGTTTAAATGTTACATCATATTTATTTTTTAATTTTCTATTTGTGTAGAAGAACTGGGGTGTAGGCCAGAGGTATGGGTGGTGAGAGGATTCACTGCAGTCAGAGTGGGGAGCAGAACAGGCAGCTAAAAGTGATTAATTAGCAATGTTGATTTATTTCAAGTCTGTGTAGGAAGTATAGAGTTGCGCAATTCCAGGTTACCCAGCCTCTGGACAAAATTATGCTTCCCTTTTGTTTCAGGTAGAATTGGTTTATGCAGGTTTTCAGGATGAAAATTGTCGATGGGAAAACTGCAAATCTCTTGCTTTTCTGTACCCAACATAAAATCTTGCAAAAAACATTTCTTAACAAATGAGAAGGGAATTTATATTCCTAATTTTGAGAGAGGTGTCTTCTTAAATCCTAAGCATAAGCCCAAATTTAGTTCTGAAGGGAGCTTTAACTGATATGACTGTGTCTATATGATGTTTGCTATTCTCACATACAAATCATTTAATTTGACCCACCAATAATAGCAATTTGGAATACTCCAAAATAAATTAGTTTCACTAATGATTCAAAGAGAATGTTAGAATTATTGTTGTGTTATAGTGTCCTTAATGTTGCAAAGTGGACATTGAAAGGATAGCATTTCACTCATACTTTTAGATGGGTTTGCAGTTATTTTTACATCCTTCATTATAGTACATATAATGTAATACATGGCATCTGAAATATATTTTATTAACCATACAGCTAAGGATACAAGGTCTTCATTTCCTTCATCAATGCAGTTGCAATGCCTCTAATGACAACGTTGTAAATGTTTTCGATTTAGGTATTGAAGAGATCTCCTTGTAGGCAAAGTTGCCCTGAAACTATGGAGGGTGCAAAAACTGTGCTTGATTTTCAAGAATACTCTGACAATGAGGTACAGAAACAACGAGTACTAACTCTGGAAGAATGGCAGGAAAAGTGGGTGAACCGCAATATTGCATTTCATCAAGAACAAGGAAATCAGTAAGAAATGTTTGGTTTATAACAGATATGCGCTTTCATTATCTGACTGATTTTCAGAAGTATGTTTTCAGTTTCTCACATGCTGGCATCTCTGGAATCAGATTGCATCTGTGGCAGATAACAATTTAGCAGGCTGTGTCATTTCTTCCCATGCAGAATAAATGGTGATGTGTCTTTTATTTATTTATTTATACATACATACAGAACTGGGGTACAGGCCAGAGGTGCAGGGCGGTGAGAGGATTCACCAGAGACAGAGTGGGGAGCAGAACAGGCAGATCGACGAAGTACACTGCTGAGGGGAGCAGCGGGCGGGTCAGGAGAGGTCTGCCACGCCATGTGGTCTCCTCCGGGGCAGGCGGGGATGGAATTCATGCTGCAGTGGCTTTGGCCACCAGGGAGGGCCCACAAATGGTGATGTGTCACTTCTCCATAGAGAAAGGGATATTGTTCTGACTTGGCTTTGCATGTGTTCAGACCTTGAAGTGTTGTCTATTGGAGGACAGGAGAGAACAGGAGAGAAACGGAGAGAATTTGTAAATGAGCCCGGGTACTGAGCAGTGGATTAGAGGTAGTAGGTTTGATGGAAGCAACAGTTAATCAGGGCCTGTGCTAACCAGTGTGATCGTGACACATGATCCTACTTCCAGCAGCCACCCTTACTCTCCAGGGGACATTATTAACATTACTGAATTTGCACACTGGGTGGGAGTTGGCCATCACCCTGGAGCCCTTATGTGGGTTATCCCTGTCAGGGAGATGGCCTTAGAAGGGCCTCCCTGTGGCCCAGGGGTTAAATCTCATTATGGCCTGAGTTCGATCCCCTGGCCAGGGAGCTGACCCATATGGCGCAGCAGACCTCTCCTGACCCGCCCGCTGCTCCCCTCAGCAGTGTACTTCATCGATCTGCCTGCTCTGCTCCCCACTCTGTCTCTGGTGATTCTCTCACCACCCCTGCACCTCTGGCCTGTACCCCAGTTCTGTATGCACAATAAACCTTTTTTTTAAAGAACTTTTCAGAGTCTCTTGTGAGACCTGAGTTCTCATCTAGAAAGATCACCAAATGAATGTTGAATAATGCAGTGGGTTCAGAAGCTTCCCTACGTTGCAAATGTGTGTGACACGCTTGTGCATGTGCACACACAGAATACTTAAGAAATTAGCAAAGAATTTTCAAAACGTAGCAACCAAGGGAAAAATAAATCTAATTTTTTGGTTTTACTTACTCTTTAAGAAAGCCCCTTAAAGTAGGGTCAAAGTAACCTCTCACCACTTCTCTGAGCCAGTTACTTAACTTTCCTTTGTCTTCATATGCAAGCTGGAGATTATAATAAAGTTCTCAAATTCCTAAAGTTGTTCCAATATTAAGTGACATAAAGTACTAAGCAACCTAAAGTGCAGTGGACTAATTAAAACCAACATTTTTTTTTCTTCCCCAGGCTATTAAAGAAGCATTTGGATACTTTTCTTGACGGCAAGAAGGGACTGAGGGTATTTTTTCCTCTTTGTGGAAAAGCAGTTGAGATGAAATGGTATGAGCAGATAAGTATTAACATACTTTCTTGATGATAAATTCTTTGGATGAATATTTATTTATTTAGTTTTAAGATTTTATTTATTTATGCATAGAAGAACTGGGGTACAGGCCAGAGGTGCGGGGGATGAGATGACTCACCGGAAACAGAGTGGGGAGCAAAACAGGCAGAGCTACTGAAATACACTGCTGAGGGGAGCAGTGGGTGAGACAGGAGAGGTCTGTGCCATGTGGGTCACTTCCCTGGCTGGGACTCTAACTCATGCTGCAGTTGCTGCCGGTAGCTTCATAGTGCTGAGACTTAACCCCTTGTACCACCAGGAAGGGCCCTTTAAACTGTATTATTAAACCTAAACCTTACCCAATTCACTGGACCAGAAGAGACAGTTACTCTGAAAACTACCTACAAAGAAAATATGTTATTTCTCAAGACAGATTGTCTTCTTGCCACATCACAAGCAGTAACAATCTCGTGGAGATTTTGAGATAAACTAGAAAGTGGTAAGATGAAAACAGCCAGTTAAATGTGATTGTTGGATATTTTGGGTCCAAAAGTCATTTGTAATAAAAATACCAAAAGTAAGCTGTAATTGCATGTAAATTATCCTAGCTAAGGATTTTTTCATTTCTATAATTAATCTGCATATTGAACTCTCCAGAGATACCACATATAAATAGATAAACTCTGAGCCCCAAAGCATTGAGGTTAAATGTTTAAGACATTTTCTTTGGTTTTTATTTTTTTTTTAACAACAACATTTTAATGTAACCCAGACTGTGTTGTCTATAGTAGACTAGTTGATTTTCTGTGTTTTTTTTTTTTTTTCAATGCTTGGCTTTCTGTACAGTGAGTGTGCTCTGGGGGAGAATTGAGAGTGCCACAGGCACAGGGACAACAGAGTAGGTGGATTTATTGAAATACACTGCCCACAGAAATACGCAGTGCATTGAAATACACTGCCAAGAGAGGAGGCACCTGCTTTTCAGAAGGTGAGGGTCTGGAGGCTCTATTTATACTCCAGGCATCACTCTCGGGTTAGGGTGGCTCATCTTGGGTACGTGTTGATGGGTTATCTGATTAGTATAAAGGATCATCAGTTGTTTGGATCAGCTAATGCCCAGGTCCATGCCAGTCCCATTCATTCCCTTTATCCATTCAAGCCTCCCAAATTTACTAGCTGGACAAGGAAGAGGGCCTTTGTTTTTAAATTTAGTAATGATAACACAACAGAGTGGAATAAAAAATCCATATAATATGGACAACTTTTCTGCTTATATTTCATAACTTCAAAAAATGCAGAGAGAAGTTTCAAATTATTCCCCATATGTCAATTTACAAACTTCCCTAGGCAATATAAAAGACAATTTACTGGTGTTTCATTTTAAAACTATGCACAGTTGATGTTCTGACACATTGAATGGCCTCATTCAGGTGAGAGGTCCAGTCGGCTTTGCTGTACATCTGGTGTTGAAATGTGATTGCTCATTAACTCGTCACAGGGCCATTTGAGCATGAATTTCACATTTGCTGACATGGGATCTCATCTGCTTGTGTCAAAAGCTGAACTCTGTCAGGTCAACCAAGCCGTGTCTGAGTAGACAGAACACAAAGCACACACCTCAGCCCTGATTCACATACCTCAGTTCACCCTGTTTGCTGCCAGCCTCTCCCATCCACACAGCTGGTGCCAGAACTTTCCATTTGAATCCCACCCCTTAACAGTGACGTCCCTGCTGTCACCCTTCCAATGTCCCTATGGGGTTCAGTGCACGGGATTCTTGGGTCTCTCTGAGAAAGTATTCAATAGACACCCCCACTCATCAACACACAACAGGTTTTTTGGCGAAAGGACAATAAGGAACTAGAGACACCTGTGTAGACACAGGCAGGCAATGTTAAAAGACAAGAGCTGCATTTTGTCAGGGCCAGGGGTGTTCTTTGATGGAATTATTGTGGAAAGAATGCCCTTGGGGCCAGATTGGGTTGATGTTCTTAGACCAGTAATCCTCTCTGCTCCCACACATCCAGTTAATAATCTTTTCTGACCCTACCTTAGATTTCTGGAACCTTAGCCAGGTTTAGTCCAAGATTCATTGATCAACCCTAGCCCACCTCTGGTGTCTTGTGAGACCTTCCATCCTAAGCTTTTCTATTCTAAGATTCTAACACCTCACATGGCAGTATTTTGATATTTCATAACTGGTAAAGACTGTGCCACCCATTCTAAAGTTCCTGTCTTTTTGATTTGTGATGCGATAAAAGGTTTTAATGTGGATATCATCCCATTTTTCCCACAAGCTTTGTGATTTTTTTTCTTGCATGATTTTTACGAAGCCATGCGGTGCATAGTAGCAGAACTGACTAGTGTGTTTATTTAATTTCACTTCAAGTCACTATGGTGCCTCTAGTACTTTTTCCTCTGGAATCCAAGAAGGCCAGTAAATTCTATAATTATAAAGCTTACCAGGAAAAGGCTAGTTATTTGCATATGATAATAAAAGAATTGCTGGGTGGTGTTTAATGTCAGTAAAATGGAAATAATAGAAGTGATTATTATAGAACTGATGCTAATATTTTAGAGCTGTGTTCTCTAATACAGTAGCTGTGAGCTACATCTGCTAACCAAATCCGAACTAAATCACATTTGCTGTGTCTCAAGACCTCAACAGCCAATGTGGTTTGTGGCTTTTGTAATTGACAACACAGACATAAAGGTGTCGGTCATCACAGCAAGTTTTAAATGGACAGAACCAATTCAGAGAAAGTCCAAATCATTTCTAATCTATGACAGGCATTTCAATTGGAAATTCTTCTAATCAAACCCATTTGTAGTAAATCAGTATCTTAAGTTACAATTTTCTAAATTTTAAAATTTTCCTAAAGTCACATAAATCAGCTTTCCTGAATTCCATTTACACAGAGAGAAAATACAGATGAACTTCTAAAAAATACTATTTTTTTAAGTTTATTTATTTATACATACAGAACTGGGGTACAGGCCTGAGGTTTAGGGGCAGTGAGAAGATTCACCAGAGACAGAGCGGGGATGGAACAGGCAGATCAACGAAGTACACTGCTGAGGGGAGCAGAGCTGAGGGGAGCAGAGGGCAGATCAGGAGAGGTCTGCCACGCCATGTGAGTCACCTCCAGGGCCAGGGTTTGAACTCGCACTTAAGTGGCTGCGGCCAGCTTGCAGGGCTGTTTCTAACCCCTTGCGCCATCAGGGAGGGCCGCAGATTTACTTCATACATGTTTTATGAAATCCCTTAAACCTGATTCCACTAGCTCTCCTAAAATTAAGGAAAATGAGGGTTTATTGAAGACTCTCTGTACTATATTTGAAGTAAGATTTTAAGTGTAAATATGTGATTTTATGCAGGTTTGCAGATCGAGGACACAGTGTCGTTGGTGTGGAAATCAGTGAACTTGCAATACAGGAATTTTTTACAGAGCAGAATCTTTCTTACTCAGAAGAGCCAGTCGTGGAAATTCCTGGAGCCAAGCTATTCAAGGTTTGTTGTGTTTTGGTAAATAGTCATTTCCATACCTCCGCAATGCCAATTTTTCTCAGTATGAGCAAGTGAGGATACTGCACAAGCTTGAGATGAGCTGCAAGTCTGATATCACCAGATTCACATAACAGATATTACAGACACGTTAGGAGCGAGGCCTTGAAAATCCATGCTAACTGGCTGGCTGGCTGGCTGGTGAGGGATAAATGTATATAAAAGCTGAGGTCATAGCCTGTCAGCCCTCCTGTTTTTGGTTTGCTTGATTTCTGTTTTCAAAAGGCATTTCTGAGAAGCTGTCTTGTGCCCTACCCTGCACAAGGCATGGAAGATATAAAAACAATTCCCACCCTAGAGAATCTCCCAGCTCAGGAGAGAAGAGATTTAGCAAATGCAATTTGTCATGCACAGATCTGCGTGTAGTGACACAGGGTATTAAGGGGACAGCCAGGTGAATTACGTGACCCAGCCTGAAGGTGCTTTCTGAAGCGCAGTGAGAGGTAGGGCTGAATAGGCAAGAGTCAAATCCATGTTCTCAGCTGCTGCAGCCTGCTGTCTTGTAGGGCTGTAAGAGGGAACGTGGCATGGCCAGGTTTTATTTTACTTTTAATTTTTTAAAATTTATTTTTGCATAGAAGAACTGGAGTATAGGCCAGAGATATGTGTGTGGGAAGTGGGTGGGGCTTTAGGGGGTTGGTGAGAGGATTTACCAGAGACAGAGTGGGGAGCAGAACAGGTGGACTTGCTGAAATCCACGCTAAGGGGACCAGTGGGTGAGACAGGAGAGGTCTGCTGTGCCATGTGGGTCACCTCCCTCACTTGGGATCAAACTCATGATGCAGTGGCTGGCAATAGCTTGATAGCCACGAGACTTTTAACACCTGTGCCACCAGGGAGGCCCTTATTTGTGGATCTTTTAAAATTTCCAATGGTGAGCCAAAATTTTGGAAGATAAATTCACAGGTCAACTGGTGACCAGGCAGGCTGACGGAGAGGGGGCAGAGGGTTGAAGGTTATTCGAGAGAACACTGAGGCTCACCCCTGGCCATCTACCTAGAACTCTCAGGGTGGCTTTAAATCTCCCCAGTGACTCTCCTCTCAACCCATGTGCCCAGACCAGGCCACTGGATTCATTGGCTTTTCTGCCTACCCTTTCATGGGGCTTCCAGGCAGGTTTCCAGAGACGCTCCCTCCACTCTCTACACCCCTCTGTCAGTGGCTCTTTTCAGAAAAGTCCAGCAGTTTCACGTCCTGACCTATCCTTCACCCCTGTCCTCACAGGCAGACATCATCCATATAGTCCCTGGCCATGACGGAGTCCCTGTCATGTAACCCCCAAACTACATCTCTGCTGTCCCCCTAGGGTGCGTTCAGTGCCCTTTTTTGTTTGGTCTTTCCCGATGCTCCCAGAAAGTGCCTCCAGGTCCTCAGTGTACCCACAGTTCTGGGGCACGTGACCAGTGAGTACACACCAGTCCCAGACCCCACACCTCTCTGCTTCACCTGACTCCTCCCTGGGTCCAGTTCACGTCCACTATCAGGAGCCAGGGACAGGCCTGTCCCATGTGCTCAGGAAGTGAGTGTCCAAGAGTAATTGAATGCAAGGGAGAAAGGAGTGTCAGCTCACTGTACTTCTCTTGAATAACCTCCAACCCTCTGCCTCTTCTCCATCAGCCTGCCTGGTCACCAGTTGACCTGTGAGTTTATCTTCAGCAAAGTCAGAATGCAGTTCTCTGCTGAAGTAATCATGCTAATGTTTAATAAGCTTTGAAATGGATAACAGTACTGATCTTCAGGGTTACCCTCTCTTTGATTTTCCTCTTTTTTTTTTAAGATTTATTTATGCATTCAGAACTGAGGTACAGGCCAGAGATGCAGGGACAGTGAACAGATTCACCAGAGAGAGTGGGGAGCAGAACAGGCGGACTGATGAAGTCCACTGCTGAGGGGAGCAGCGGGGTGGGTCAGGTCAGGAGAGGTCTGCCATTCCATGTGGGTCACCTCCCTGGCTAGGTATCGAACTCGTGTCGAAGCAGCTTCAGCTAGCCTTGCAGTGCTGTGCTTTAACTCGTTGTGCCACCAGGGAGGGCTCTGATTTTCCTCTGTTGATCCAAAGGACCCATAGTGGTTAAAAAAAAAATAAGGTGCTGATAAGAGTACATGAAATTATGTTCTTTGTGCTTAAGCATGCCTTGTCTCCACCACCTTAACTTTGCTCTATCTTCCCCCCACCTCACCTTTTCCCCCTTGACTGTTCCTGAAGCTCCTAATGCAGTAGCTTTTTTCTTCTCAACTTAACATTACAGAGTTCTTCAGGGAGCATTTGGTTATACTGTTGCAGCCTGTTTGATCTTCCCAGGTAGGACTGAATACTATTCTGCACTTTTAAAACCTTGCATTTTGAAAGCGGGGCTGGGCAATACTAGGCTGGGGGTGAGGGTCTTTACACCTCTCCCATCCATCGGCAATAGCACCCACAAAGCATTGACTGGGGTCTCGATGCTGCAGCCGACAGGTCTGTGTAACTGATACTGTCGTCTTGGAGAGAGTCCAAGCTGTGGGAAATAGGATGGTGGCCTTAGGTAGGGCAAAGGCAGGAGAGCTAGACGCTGTCTTCCACTTCTGACCTGGCTCGGTAACAGAAATGAATTTCTAAGTGTGCAGGGAGGTCTCTGGGCTGGTCCCACGTCACCTCCACCTGTCCATGTGGACTCCAGGGAAGAGCAGAAATGAATCCCCTTTTGTTTACAAGCTGAAGGACCAGCATGCACCCTGGGAAACGCTTTGTCTTGACAAAGGTTTGATGGCCCTTACATAAAAAGGTTTTGCCTTTTCTTCTTTTGTCTCTGGTAGAGCAAATATTGGCCAGCTTGACAGGATTTGGGATAGAGGAGCATTAGTCGCCATCAACCCAAGTGATCACCAACGGTTAGTAATTTGGTTTCTTTACTTTATGTTGACGTTTCCAACTTTCTCTATTAGACTATAGTCCTTTTCCTGGACTCCCGAAAACAAGCTAAACTTTTACAAGTTGGAAGTAGCTTGTTATTCTTGTACTTAGAAGGTCTAAATCTAATGCCGTCTTTGTCACACAAGTATAGAATTTGGATCTGGGTAAGAAGCTGGAGACTCTGTCACTGCTGACTGTGTTGCCTTGATCAAAGCATAAACTTCCCCAAGTCTGAGTTTATCTCTCTGCAAAATTGTAAGATCTCTATTTACTCCACCATTACCACATCCACAAATGCTAGCAGATATACCTGCTGGCACTTGCCACGTGCTAAGCATTGCTTGAAAGATGTATGTGAAAAAAGGAGAAAGAAATATATTATGTGGATCAACACATTTAATCCACAAAACACCCCTGGGAGGTATAAAAAGTCATTACACCCATTGTACAAAGGAGAAAGTTAAGGTCAAAGAGATGAAGTGTCTCATCCAAAGGTAAGCAGCCAGGGTGTGATGGATTGGAAATCCAAAATCACAGAGCTTGGGGTTAAGTCTCGGCACTATGGAGCTATCTTCAGTCACTGCAGCATGAGTTCGACCCCCAGCCAGGGAGCTGACACACATGGCGCAGCAGACCTCTCCTGTCTCAACCTGCTGCTCCCCTCGGCAGTGTGTTTTAGTCAATCTGCCTGTTCTGCTCCCCACTCTGTCTCTGGTGAATTCTCTCTCTCTCTCTCACTCATGCACAAACACACATATCTCTGGGCTGTACCCAGGCTCTTGTATGCACAAATAAATAAAATAAATCTTTAAAAAAATGACCACAGAGTTTGGCTGCAAAGCCCACATTTGTGAGTCCCATATTGGCCTGTCTCAGTGTCCTTCAGGAAATTAGGGGGGAAAATATGTATGGAAAATGCCCATTAACCCTAGAGAGCTATTGGAATAGAACAGCTCTATTGACCTTTTTTGGTGGTTATTCTCATTAGACAATAAAATTAAAATGTAAGAGACCATCCTGGGTCAAATGACACCCACCTATTCTTTCCGATTCTAATTCACATCCTTGGATACACATTAAATATATTGCCAAAAAGGCTGGACTACACACCTATGAAATAACATTTTTGTTTTAAAATAGTTTTTTTTAAAGATGTATTGATTTATGCATACAAGAACTGGGGTGTAGGCCAGAAGTGTAGGAGGTGAGAGGACTCACCAGAGACAGAGTTGGGAGAAAAACAGTCAGAACGACTGAAATACACTGCTGAGGGGAGCAGTGGGCGGGTCAGGAGAGGTCTGCCGCGCCACGTGGGTCAGCTCCCTGGCTGGGGATCGACCTTGTGCTGCATGGTTGCCAACAGCTTTATAGTGCTGAGATTTAACGCCTGGGCCACCAGGGAGAGCCCTGCAGGCTTTACCTTTGCAGACAAATGTAACCCTCCTTTTTTGTGTTCTTTTTAGCTACTCAGATATAATACTGTCCCTCATGGGAAAAGAGGCTCACTACCTCTTGTCTGTTGTCTCTTATGATCCAACCAAACATGCAGGTAAGTGTTTTGTTTTTTGTTTTTTTTTTTTCCTAGTTGTCTCATGTATTGCTTTAACTCTGGATGTCGGAAATATTAGATTCTTGTAATTTATCTCATTACATTGCCTTGATACATAATGAGAAGTTTGTTTTTGATTGTTTGGGGTATTTTTGCTAATGGAAACTAGAATTTCTTTGCTTCTCTTACTGGATATGTGTTTTCTCCTATTTCATTCCCATTCACAGCTCAAACTGTAAAAGAGGGAGAAAAATGGATGTTGCATATATAAGAGCAATCTCATAAGCCCTGGATTCACGGGGGCAAATCTCCTGGATTCAGGAACAGGAGAGCCAGGGGTAGGGGGTGGGGAGACAGAGTGAAGGAAATTGCTAAACTTCCACTGTTTTTTAATTTCTGTATTTTATGATTCATCTGTTACATTCTTTTATAAGTTGCTTTGAATTTGTAACGGTGATGTTTCTTCTAGACACATTTTAATGTGCTTGAACATTACAGCGCAACCTTTTTCATAAGTGAGCTTCTATTTAACAGAAGAAAAAAAAACCAAATTCACAGACTTTACACTTGTGAAAATATTTTTTTTTATACAAGAGCTGGGGTACAGGCCAGAGGTGTGGAGGTGGGGTAAGAAGATTCAGCAGAGTAGAGGGGGGAGCAGAACAGGTAGATCCACTGAAATACACTGCCGAGGGGAGCAGCGGGTGAGACAGGAGAGGTCAGCTGCGCCATGTGGGTCACTCCCTGGCCAGGGGGATCGAATTCGTGCTACAGTGGCTGCAGATGGCTTCATACTACTGCGCTTTACCCTGATGCGCTACCAGGAAGGGCCTGCAATCGAGGCTTTTTAAAAATGCCTTGTTTTATACTCATTTACGTGTTTGTTTGTTTTATCAATCTGTTGCAATTCATGAGATCTTAAACAGTTGTTAAGATGAGATGAGATTAGTCTATAACTAAGTCTGGGATAATCAGATGAAAACAGAAATCAGTGGAGATTGAAGGAGACTCCAGGGGACTTTGTGAATGAACTCCATGCATTTTCATTGTTACCAAGTCCATCGGCTGGCCCAGCCTTCTCAGCTGAACTGGAGGCTGGCCTCCGACTGTGCCATCTGGTCACTAAGTCAGCTCACTTTGTTAGTGGGAATGTACAAAGTAGGTCTCCTCCCAGTTTGGATAATATAGTTGCATACTCAGGTCATTGGAAATAAAGTCAGAGTGGACCCTGAGAACTTATACCCTTTAGAGATTTAGAATCTGATCTCTAGAAAGAATATTTGACTGTGTTTCTCTCTCATTCAGGTCCACCATTTTATGTTCCAGAGGCTGAAATTCAAAAATTGTTTGGTAAGACAAGTGCTGTAACTTCAAGTCAACTTCCCAATTAGGAGCTGTTAGCAAAATCTGTTAGCCTCTAGAAGTAGGTGAAGTTTAAAATTCAGGACCCATTTCATAAAAGACTATTTTATCCTTAAAAAAAGAAAAAGACCCATTGCTGAAATATGCCTTTTTAGTTAAGTGGTATGTTCATATTAAAGATATTTGAATTCTACTAGAGGGCTAAATTTGGTTTGACTTTTAAGAGCTATGGTGATAATACTAATGTAGTATTTAGATATTTTGCCCATAAGTAGCACATCCCCATTTTCATTAAAAAGAGAAAAAATATTCTATATACTGTTTTTTAAATCATTTGATGTATTTTTGGAAGAACCTCGACTGTATTCTTCACAAAAGTTAAACCATTACCCTTCCTGTTTCAGGCTCAACGTGCAATATTCGCTGTCTGGAGAAGGTTGATATTTTTGAAGAAAGATATAAACAATGGGGGGTTGATTACTTATTTGAAAAGTTATACCTACTTACAGAAAAGTGAGATACAAGCAAGAAAGAGCAACATGTATTTGAGTGATTTAACATGTGCTAAAGAATGAAAATATAATGAATGTCTTTTGGAAAAAGGTATTCACCACGGATCTTTGCTCAAAAGTGCATAACTTTTTAGAAAAATCACGTATGAAATGATAAAGCTACCTTTGGAAATGACAGGATGATGGGGTATGGGAGATTACACCTGTTTGATTTATTACTGATTGTAAGAATCCTTCAGAGTCACCTTGTATTACTTGTATAATTAAAAAATAAAAGAAGTGCAATGTGTATAATAACAACCAAAAAGATAACAGATGTGGAGACATTGACGTTTAGAACCATTGAAGATATCGAACACTTTGACAATGTTCAAGATAAAAGAAAGTGGCCCAAGAAATTATATTAACTACTAGCTTTGACGGTAAACCCTATTCTAAAATCCTGACCTCTTAACATTTGCCTCCTTGTGAAATTATATATGGAACACAATCAAGAAACAAGTGTAAAGATTAAATCAGTAGAGTAACCTATGTAAAATCAAAAATGTTTTTCCCAAGTTGCAAAAATAAATTTTAAAAAAGTTTTTTATGTGAGTTTGGCAGATTTTTGTTGCTACTAATTGATTCTTGTTTCATTGATCAGGTCTTAGGAGCTGGAAGCACTTAGGGCTGAATGTAGAAAGGTTCTTGAGGGTGTAAATTTAGATCTTCCGGTTTTCAGTTAATAATAGCATTTTAAACAGCCATTCCTCTCTACTCACTACCCAAAACCTGAATAATTTCAATTGTTTAGCTCATGCTAATAGGATGGTATGTTACTAAAACACAAGTCACTTCTTTGTGTGTGGATTAAGGTTTATTAAAGGGGAAGTTTATGGATCTCTTTAATAAAAGCTATGGATACTCTTCCAAGAGATAGCTCATAAGCAGAAAAACATGGTAGAAATTTTCCCTGGGGTGAGATTTGTTGACCTCCTACCCCTTCCCCAGGTACCCCAACTTAGGAACTCTGTTAGAGGATTCACCAGAGACAGAGTGGGGCGCAGGACAGGTGGATCTACTGAAATTCTCTACTGAAGGCGAGACAGGAGAGGTCTGCTGCGCTATGTGGGTAAGAACTAGGGAACAGGCCAGAGGTGCAGGGGATGAGAGGATTCACCAGAGACAGAGTGGGGCGCAGAATAGGCAGATTGACTGAAATACACTGCTGAGGGGAGCAGGGGTGGGACAGGAGAATGCTCAATCCCTGGCTGAGGATTGACTTCAGGCGATAGCAAGACTTAAACCCTAGGCTACCAGGGAGGTCCGAAAACAAGATGTTTGAACAAACAGCTACATTATTTTTTATTATATGGCAGTGCACATGTATTTAATCTTCCTGCTGTTATTAGAGACCTTGAGCAAATATAAATATTCTTGAAAGTACCAGATCAGGGAAGACTCACCGAGGTTGAAAGTCAGAGTCCTGTTCCAAGAAATCTCAGATTCTAGTGGCCAAGACTGGATGCTCACTAATGTATCATGTGATGAGGTTATTGTTCCAGGTCCTGACTCTGCATCCAGGAAAAAATTCCCCAGAGAACACCAGATGTAGTTGAATCAGACAAGGCTTATGAGAGATGCATGCGTGAGGAAGCCCTGGTGCTGGAGGATTAGCCTCCTGTCTCCTGAAAGGGAGTTAGAAGGAGATATTTAAAGGGAAGACTGGGGTGCAAGGGGTTGAAGTGCAGCACTATGGAGCTACCCATCTCCAGCCAGGGAGCTGGACCCCATGACACAGCAGACCTTTCCTGACGCCCGTTGCATCCCTCAGCAGTGTATTTCAGTCAGTCTGCCTGTTCTGCTCCCCAATCTGTCTCTGGTGAATCTTGTCACCCCCCTGAACCTCACGTGTAAATAAATTTTTAAAAATAAAGGGAAGTCGGCAAAGGGAAGTTTGGGGGTGCAAGGATTGAAGAGCTAAGGAGCTATCCATCCCCACCCTGGAGCTGACTCACATGGCACAGCAGACCTCTCCTGACCCGCCCGCTGCTCCCCTCAGTATTATTTCAGTAGATCCACCTATTTTGCTGCCCACTATGTCTCTGATGAATCCTCTCAACCCCTGAACCTCACCCAGTACCCCAGTTCTTATATGCATAAATAAATGAATTTTTAAAAAATAAACAAAGGGAAGTCAGTGAGGCAGGGAGGCGGAGAGCTGAGTCAGCTTGTTCTGGGCTGGGTTAGCCAGACATGTGCAGAGATGTCCATTCCAGTTGCACACAAGTCCTTGGCCTTCTCCCTCCCGGCAATTATGAGATGATGGTGAAGTTCAGATATGATGTACTTTGTCTATCAAGGCACCTATGGTCAGTGTGGTGGACAGAATTGTCTGGCAGCACTCACCAGTCCATGATATAGTCCAAACAGGACTTGGGGCAACTGTTCTTGCTCAAAATTTATTTGACCCAGGTGGTCTCAGCTACACTGGGGGTACATGCTGGCAGCTGGCACTGAGGAAGTAGCTACTTAAGCCCTAAATCTATGGTGACAGTCCTGGGGACAGTGGGTGAGAAAAGAAGAGAAAAAGACCATTAAAAAAAATTATTCCTGGGTCCTCCCTGGTGGCGCAGC